CTTATTTCGTCGTTGTCCCCACTTAGAAATCCTGCGATTTCGAATATTCTTGGTCACTGCACATGGGTTTCTTTAAATAATTTTACATACCATTAAAAAAAAGGCTTTTCTTTTGAAACTTTTTGAAGCAAAACCAACAACATTTTTCTTTGTTTCTTTATTTTACACCACACGGAAATAATTAAGAAAACCGGAAGAATAGGTACTTATATATAAAAAGTACTTATGAAGCAATAAGAGCAACCTAGACAATGACTATTATATTAAACTAGTTAGGAGGAATAATAATAAATGAGATAAACATTTAAAAGTAGTCACTACAGGGAGGCATAGGTATAAGAACACCACACTGAGACACACACAACAACAACAACTCTGTTGAAGTGTTGTAGTGAAGAGAAAAAGGGGACAGATTCAAAGAATTTAGGAGAAAGTAATAATAGACCTTTTTAAACAATCCTTAAAGTTGAAGAGGCTAAGGTTGTTTAGAAATTCTTCAGTATTTTTCCATAAACAGCTCTGTTAAAAAGGGTATAGTACAATAGTTGAAGTATATATGTGACTTGGCCTCCAGTTCAGTGCTCAGATTCATATTTGTATTCGTTTGCGCCCACCTTGGTAAAATAAATTTTCGATTGTGAGAAAAAAGCTAACGCTTAAAGCGTAATTTTACTCTCATTTTTCCTTCTTTATCAATTTGTGACCGGATCTTACCCTTATGACGCGAGTGACATACCCATTGTACCTGCTTCCCACCAGTTGGTCAAAAGTCAACTTTAAATGCTTAAAAACAGTGCTTTCTTAGTGTTAACAGCTACTGACTCACATAATTTCGACACCTGCTTTCCGTTAGCCCTCCTCTCATCCATGGCTAATCATGTGAATAATTATAAATTAATTTTGCGAGTCGTATTCCTTATGACTGCGGCCTATAAATCATGTTTCTTGTTTTTACATCAGAGGTTGTTAATCTTGTCGATGTAAACAGATTAGTACTGAGTAACTTGTTTCTGAAATAACGTTACCTCTGACCGGTGCCTGCGAAAGTTTGGTTAAAACGGTAATCTAAGACATTTCAACAACGATTTCTAGTGTCTCCTCCTCTCCCTGTAATTAACGTTTCCTGAATTTTAGGACAACTTTTAATCCAAAGATCTAAAAGACCCTTTTAACAAAAGGGTCTTAAAATGAATTAAATTGCATTTGTTCATTTTTGTTCAAATTTGCCCTAATTTTAAAAATACACAAAACTAAAATAGTCTAGACTTTGTCCCTTTGCTCGTAAGTTTTCCCACGACCTATCGCATTTTCGCGTATACATTATTGTTACTTCTCACGTTTATTTACTAGTATTAACGAAGAAACCATGCTTTTACAAG